GGTCTCCCAAATATAAATATAAATATAAATATATTTATTATACTATTAAAAAATAGTATACAACCTTTTCTAACATTTATTTTTATAGGCAGCCTTTTCACCAAAAATCTTGTGGCAGAAATACAGTTCCCAGCAACCTCACATCGATTATTTGACCAGTAAATAAAGCCTCACAACTAAAAGTAAGAAGAAACACGGCAGAAGATGCATACCCCATGGACAACATCAGGCATACAACCATTATTGCACTTACATTTTGCTCCTCTGGTTCTAATTTTGGAATTTTGTGTGACTTTCTCTCTTCCGACCGGGAAGAGTCGTGCTTGCTACTTTTTTTCCTTTTCTCTTTCCTCCCCTCGTGTTTTGCCTTAGCATACTCACTGGCTTGTACTTCATTTAACAGGTCCCCGCACAGAGAGGACTCAAACAATTCCCTGCCGTTCTGGATAGTTTTGGTTATTTTTAATTTGATCTCTGGTGAGCCAGTTTTCTTTGGAATCACCGTTTGTGAAACTGAAGGTGGCGGTGGAGGCGGCGGCTGCGGAGGGGATGGTTTTTCCAGAACTTCGTGTGACCTTGTGTTCGAGTTTTCCATCTGGTAATATTCTGGGGGACTAAAGTTCCTGACTGTACCAAAACCATTGGCAGAACCATTGGGATATTGAGTGTACGTCTGGTATTTGGCTTGAGGCTCGTAGACGTTGATTGTTGGTGGGTAGCCGTTGGTGATGGGTGGGAGGTCCTCGGCGGTGGGCGTGGGGTACTGGAAGCCTTGCTGCAGGGCAGTTTGGTACGGTGTCTGTCCACCATCTTCAGCAATGTCACTGCTGGCATCAAAGGCATCCTCTTGGCGGATGTTGGCTGAGTCAATGAGTTGAGGTGGTTGCTGAATTGTGTTTCCCATGATCCCTTGCATGAAAGAGAAAGAGAAATCCATTGTTCTGCTCCAGCATCCTTAGCTTTCCCTTTTTCTCATAGGGCCTAAAGGCAGGGGAAAGGAAACAAGAAGTCAGTGTAAATCAAATTATAAAAGTTAAGGAAATTAAATTGTTGAGGAAAAAAAAAAAATATCTAAAGACCAATTTTATAGAATCATAGAATGGTTTGGGTTGGAAGGGACCTTAAAGCTCATCCAGTTCCAACCCCCCTGCCATCAGCAGGGACACCTTCCACTAGACCAGGTTGCTCAAAGCCTCATCCAACCTGACCACAAACACTTCCAGGGAGGAGCAGCCACAGCTTCTCTGGACAACCTGTTCCAGTGTCTCACCACCCTCACAGTGAAGAACTTCTTCCTAATATCTCATCTAAACCTCCCCTCTTTCAGCTTAAACCCATTTCCCCCTGTTTTGTCATTAACTGCCCTTATGAAAAGTCCCTCCCCCTCTCCATTCAGCACCCACCCTCTCAGGGCTTTACAGAGGACTAGTTACACATTTTTTACACGACCACTTTCTTCTTTCCCCAAGACATTTAAAGAAGTGTTACAAGCACCTGCAAATGTTTAAAAACTATGAGCCCAAGTGTTACAAAGTCAGAATAAGAGTGCTAAAATTCCAACCACTCCATAACCCTCCTAGTTTGGTGTTAGAAAGTGTTATTCCAACATCAAGCAGTAAGACAGCAGGCTCTGACCCTCAAGGTTACAGAAGATACCAAGTTCTCTCGACACCATAGTCATTGCAAACTGAATAAGCCAGAAAAAAACACAGAAAAACCACTCAAACAAGGGAGAAACCTCTTCTCTTCCTCCACACCTCCGAGACAGATGAGCAGCCCTTAGGACAACACATAAGCCAGCACGGGTTTTTCTGAACAATGGCACAATTAAAGCCAATAGGTCATTCCACCTCAGCTGCTGGGAGAACCAGTTCACACTGTACAACAGCCTCCATGGGCTTCCCAACCTCTTCCCTCACCAGAAAAGCAGAGTGGAGTCTGCACACACTGGCTTTCAGCAGCCAAGTGAGGAGGTAACTCCCCCCCTCACTCCCTGCCCTCCCACCTTATTTCAATATTTAACACTTAGGGCTTAACCACTGTGTGGTTCTGAGGGAGAGAAAAAGTCTCAGTGTCAGAAGATCTCCAAAACCTGATGTTCTTCACAGAATTAGATTACAGCTGAGGAAGCTGTCATACACACTTGCAATTTTCCAATGCATATTAAAACACCAAAACCAGACCAAATCAAAGTTACATTTCCAAAACTCAACTAGTGGCTTTTGCATTCACCTCAATAATCTCAATGTTCAACAAGAAGAAATATACAGTGACCTAAACTTCAGGTAAGAAACACAAGTTTGCTTCCAAGCAAGGTCAATTCAGCCCTTCCAAAGCAAACACAGCTCTGTATTATTTATTCTGTCTCTGCGTAGGTAAAAAAGGAGGGTTACTGTGCCCTTTTGGTCAGGGTTTGAAGTGACATTAACACATCCCACAGATACTCCTCATAATAAGGCTCTAGATATAACCCTGCCCACATTAAATTCTCACCCTCCCAGCGCGATGCATCTCAATACCTCATCCAACAGTTTCCAAAACACTGAGAACATCTCCCTCCTCTGAGATGGCAAAAAAAGAAATTCAACTTATAATAGTAACTAAGAACTTGACCAGAATGTTGCTCTGTGTTTTGTGGACTTCACACTGGGAATATGAGTTTGTATTTATAACTCATCAGTATCAGAATATACGGATGTTTGTATTTCTCTTTATTGCCCCCCGCGATCAGCCAGGGGCAGGTTTGTCACTGTAATTAACTGACTTAGGGAAACAACTTAATTCCACAATGCTACACAGCAGAATTCACTAACTGCAGTCACTTTTAAATCATGTGGCTGTAAAACCACCTCTGCTCTCCAGCAGCTCTCTGCACATCAGCCACCAAACCGACACACAAATGTCACTGTGAGGGGACAGCACACGGGGCGAGCGGGACTGGGCAGCAAAACCACCTCCCATTCCAGGAAGGGGAAGTGGGGCTGGGTGCACTATTTACCAATTCATTGTTACTTTACATCTGCCAGACTGAAGAGCAAACAACAAATTTCTCACACTAGTAACAAACTGCTCCTTTTAACTGTCACTAAAACCAGGTTCAATCCTTTTTTTCTTCAGAATACTTAAAAAAAAACCCCAAAACTTATCTTGAGAAGCTGCAACAGCGCTTCAGTCATCCTGGCACATCCATGGCTGGATAGACAGAGTCAAAGCAGAAAGAGTTTAAGGAATTTTAGAGTTATTCTCAACTTCCCATTTGTTTATTGTTGCTCTTTTAATAGTAATTAAATCACTGTCTATTACCAAAATACCCTGAAAGTAAGAGCATCCATTTCATTTAGCAGAACACAGGGTTATTAAGGGATCTGGTAAAGTAAATCACTTTAACTATCTGTTAAAATATATCACTTTAACAGGACCCAAACTTTGGTGTGGCCACATCAGAACTATAAAAAGCAAAAAACAACTTGTGAAAAAACAAAACCCAGCAAACCAAAAAACTACACAGCATCCTCTGCTCCATTAGGAATACAGTTCTGCTAAGGTCACCAGGCAGTTGAATAATTACGCTTTATGTTTTCCTGCATATAAGTAGAAACTGTGTAAGTTTTGGGTCCTGCTGGAAGATGCTCATCTGATGTGGTAAAATCATTTTAAAGCCTTTCATTTCTCTCTCGAGGGAAAAGATAATTTGTTAAAAAGACGTTTTTTCCCCAGGTGCAGGTTCTCTGGCCTTACTTACAATATTAAGCATGAAGGCAGATTTCTCATTTCACTAGACAGGACAGCTCCTCTAACGAGCAACCACCTCATGGGCCAAAAGGAAAAATCATAGAATCCCAGACTGGTTTGGATTGGAAGGGACCTTAAAGCTCATCCAGTCCCAACCCCCCTGCCAGCAGCAGGGACACCTTCCACTAGACCAGGTTGCTCAAAGCCTCATCCAGCCTGGCCTTCAACACTTCCAGGGAGGAGCAGCCACAGCTTCCTTGGGCAACCTGTTCCAGTGTCTGACCACCCTCACAGTGAAGAACTTCTTCCTAATATCTCATCTAAACCTCCCCTCTTTCAGCTTAAACCCATTCCCCCTTGTTTTGTCATTAACTGCCCTTATGAAAAGTCCTTCCCCAGCTTTCTTGTAGGCCCCAAATAATACCTCCCCGCCACTACCAGAACAAACACCATCAGTCAGAGCCTCTGCAGACCCTCGTTTTCAGATCAGTGATGGATATTTACAATCAGGAGATTGCCTTGAAACCCTGCATCTGTATAACCACCTTAGTAGGGGAGGTTTAGATGGATATTAGGAAGAAGTTCTTCACTGTGAGGGTGGTCAGACACTGGAACAGGTTGCCCAGAGAAGCTGTGGCTGCTCCTCCCTGGAAGTGTTTGTGGTCAGGTTGGATGAGGCTTTGAGCAACCTGGTCTAGTGGAAGGTGTCCCTGCTGATGGCAGGGGGGTTGGGACTGGATGAGCTTTAAGGTCCCTTCCAACCCAAACCATTCTATGATTCCTCTAGTCCTACACTGGCTGAGTACAGACTGACAGCTTGTGCCTCAACCACTGCATCAGGGAGGAACAAACCCCCTTCTGCTCCCGCTGTGACCTGTGGGCTGGGAGATGTGGTCACCCCGCTCGCTCCTCTGGCAGCAGTTAAGGGCACGTCACCGCGCAGAGCGGCACCGACCTTCTGATCTGCTGCCAGATCAGGCTGGGACGTCGAGTTCACTGCAATCTTCTCTAAAACTGAGCCACACCATCAGGTGAGGCTGCACACACACAACACTAGAAAGCTGTCTGTACACTCCACAGCCAGACTGAGAAGCAGTTTCAGTCTGAGAAGCACTGAAATGCTACAACAGTCTGAACAGAAGGTTTCTGCCCTAAAAAGCACGACCCTACGTCATCTCTGAGAGAAGAATCACAGAATCAGAGTGTTGGGGATTGGAAGGGACCTCAAAAGATCATCCAGTCCAACCCCCCTGCCAGAGCAGGAACCTCAATGAGATCACACAGGAAGGCGTCCAGGCGGGTCTTGAATGTCTCCAGAGAAGGAGACTCCACACCCTCCCTGGGCAGCCTGTCCCAGGGCCCGAACGGACCTTTTCCTATGACACTGGCACCTTCCAGCCTTTCCTTCAAAGAGCTTCCACACTTTAAAAAGTTGGGATAGAACCCAAACTGTTTTGTGCAGCGTTTCACCAGGACACCAAGGTTTATTTATTCCCTGGGATGTCACACACACGGACCTGGCTGAAGAGCACGTTCTGTGTCAGGTTATTCACACTCACCCCTTCTAATTCCATCTACAAACATCGCTCCAAAGCTGATGATCTACAGACTGCTGAGTGATTTCACAAAGGCTGTTTGTGAGCCTCAGCCCTGCTCCCGGTAGGAAGAACTCCCAGTCACAAGGCTGGAGCATTAAAGCCATGACAACACTACAGGCTTTTTGTCACGGTCACGTCCGTCTGGGTCGACAGGAAGATGCGATACTTGATCAACACAGCCAGGAAAATCCTCCCTCTGCACACAGGACACTCTTACCAGGACAGCTTATTTTCAGTGATACGTGTTGATCTGTCAGAAAAGTATTGCAGAATAAATTCTTCTCACTACAACAGCAATTACTCTACTAAATTACACTATCAGCCTCCTGCAAAGTGTAGGATTTATCTTCCAATCATGACCCTCAACAAATACCGCACTGATAGGACACTGGAACTCAACCAACAGATAAAGAAACCATTTAATTATTTCAAGGTTTATAGGAAATGGATGCTTTAGAGCAGCTGGGAAAAAAAACCAACCTGAAATCAACAATACCTTCAAAACTGCAACTGAAACTAGATGATCTTTAAGGTCCCTTCCAATCCAAACCATTCTATGATTCTATGAGTTTCCTAATGAGAAAGAAAGTTCATTCTCTGAAACTGGGCAGCCAGCATTCTGTACTGGTCCCTTCCCATGGCTGTGG